CACGGTCGTCGTTTCCGGAGCTGCGGGAGCTACCGGCTCCATGGTTGTGCAACTCGCCAAGCACGTTCTTGGATGTAAACGCGTCATCGGCATTGCCGGTGGTGAGAAGAAGTGCCGCTGGGTCGAGAGTCTGGGCGCAGATGTTTGCGTCGACTACAAAGCCGCGTCTTTCGAGGCTGACCTTAAGAAAGCCACGGAGGGTTACGTAGAAGTCTACTTTGACAATGTTGGCGGCGACATCTTGTCGCTCATGCTGGGTCGTATGAAGCGCCACGGACGCATCGCTGCGTGCGGCGCCGTCGCAACGTACAACTCCATGGGCGACAGCGGCGTCAAGAACTGGTTCGAGATTATCAGCAATCGCATTGAGGTCAGAGGCTTCATTGTTATCGATGCTATTGAATCGGGCAAGGCTGGTCAGTATATCCAGGAGTTGATCAAGGGAGTCAAGGAGGGCAAGCTCAAGGTTGGACCCGAAACGGAGACAGTGGTTAAGACTAAGTTTGAGGATGTGCCCAAAACTTGGATGATGCTTTTCCAGGGTGGCAACACGGGCAAGTTGGTTACGGAGGTACAGGCCTAGGTTAGCATACGACCAACTGCATAGATGTTGAGTCAATGTTACAAATGGAAAGTACTCAAACCGTGCATCGCACAGGAACAGGTGTGACATTTGCATATCCGGAGATGTATATCTACAGCACATGTCATTTCGTGTAAACCATAGGCCAATTCAGTCTTCGCAGTCGCTTTGTCCAACTGAATCACTCTTTGCCGTTGTGCTCCCTTGACTTGCATGCTTGAACTTGATGGCAAACGGCTTCTATATGACTGTAGCTTGCATTATATATGCCGTTGACCCTTAGGTAGACTATCTTCCAAAAGGTAACAAGTCATTGCTATCTTTGGGGATAGACGCTTTAACGGGTGCTGACTGTTGTACATGGGTTTCTGCGCATCACGATAAGCAAATGTAGACAAAATATCCTCTGAGTGAGACGGCGGAGAATATTGAAGGCAGCTTCTACAATCAGGTATGAGTCGCCGTATGAGTGTAAGATGTCTTCACTGCGTCGCGTGATATGAAGGAACACGAAAGTCATAGTTGATCACCTCTGAGTGACTACAGGTAGTTTGCCCACCCCTAATCTGCAAACTATGATGAGAACATGACGATACTTGTGAGTTGGCCCATTTGAGGTACTCGCCAATGGAGAAGTGGTGGCACCACCCAAGCTTCCGTCGAAACGATCCACGCTGTAGACTTAGTGTAACATGCGCATGTTAAAGTAGCTACACCTTGCAAACGGAGTCATTAAGGAGAGTTCTGTCAAGTGTAACAGGAAGAAAACTGCGATGCCGTTATTTATTTCGTCATAGTCTACACGGAACCCTTCAAATATACCGCGGGTTGCCCTGCACGGTCTTCTTGACATTCTCGAAAGGTTCTAATGCGATGGGCGCTTGGTAGAGCTCCGGTACTCTCGCGCCCATGTAAACTTTTGCGCACCATCCTGCTTCGGTCTGTGCTCCCTTCATCTCGTAGTATTTTCTCGCAACCATAAGCGGTGTCAACGATCCGAATTTTGCAGTGTAACCAGTGACGGGCCGACAATTGTACGGCACGCTTCGACATATCGAATCTGCATAGCTGCTGAGCTGGCGGTCCCACATGTACAATTGCTTCATATCGAGTTGTCGATGCTGCCGGAGCAACTTGAATGTGTTGCCTTGCAAGATCAACATGCTCATCCAGTAGATAAGGTAGCAAATGCCGGCCCCAAAGTAGTGGAAGTAGAAGACGGGATCGAATACGCGGTCTGCGCAAATATCCAGGAAGCCATCCATGAAGGCAACGTCTACCGTGTCGTATCGCGGACCGTGTCTTTCAAAGGTTGAGAGCCACTCAAAAGCACGGCTAGCGACTTGTTGCGAATCCTCAATGAGAGAATCAATCTCCTCCTTTGGACATTCTGGTCTGGTGGCCTTGTCCGTGCGCTCCAGGAGTCGTGGGATGTGTATGCAGATGTCGTTCAGAGCCACGTACGGATCCACTTTTGCCGCTTTGGCAGTCACTGATAACCATTCCGTGCTGTCTAGCATTGAGGCCTTTCGCATGTGGTAGCCGATACTCAGCTAGCAGGCATTAGCGAGGCTGTACAGCATACGACAATACGATTCCTCATACCGAATTGTACCGTATGGCGTGGAAAATTTGCATGCTCAATCGACTCTCGAATGAAGCTGGCCCACGCTGCTTGAGAAGATGTAGAAGTCCCTGGACATGGTAGAAAAAGCCATGACCTTGTGTAACACCTACGAAAACCTATGCGAGCGGTTAGACCTGATAGCAAGAGCATTGGATGAGATCGCTTGTACCTCGTAAAGCGTGAGCATATACGTTGATAGCAGTGTTTCGTCTTTGAGTGCTGTCACTGGATCTTGTATTGCGCGCAACATCTGACTCAGGGCTGTGCCATATAGCGACCTGGAGCGATGGATTAGCGGATGATTTCTGTTGTTCACCGCCAGTTGCGCTGCAGAGAGAGCATCAATTGCAGCCATGAGTACCGGGCTATTCGCGGGCATAGTAGGTAGGCCAAGCATCAGGGCTGAAGGGGGCGGCAACGCCGGACCCTCAGCTCTGGGCAAATACAGGGCAATGAAGGTTCCCAGATGCTGTATTCTGTCGGCGGCAACTGCGCTGACCTGCTTGGGCAGGGGCGCATCCTCAGGCTCCATTTGCGCATCTTCTCTGCGTACGATGGCCTTGCTTGAGAAAGTTGCGTCGTTTTGTGAGCTTGACGAAGCTTGACTGGCGTACTTGTAGCGATTCTCATCCTCCTTGATCAGGGATGGCTTTTCTCCGTGTGCATCGAAATTGTGGAGAATAAAAGCCTGTGCTGGCCGATAGCCAGGGCATTTTGTTCCGCGCCTCACGCAGGTATTGCACTCTGGTTTGGTCTCGTCGCATCGAACCTTTCTTTTCCTGCACTCGAAGCAGCCAGCCGATCGCTTTGGCATTGTGAGACTACCTGTGGGACCACCACTGTTGAGACCTGGGAGGATGCGATGAGATATGGCACAAGATGGCTGATGTGTAGTTCCGTCTCCTGTTTTTCCGGTATGGACTGGGCTGCTAGGGGCGAGGACAGTGAAGGGCGCACACCACGCACCGCCCGCAGACGCGGCCGCTAGAGGCGATGGCCAAGAGGCACCCCGTATTCAACGGTGTTGGCCAATCAATAGTGGCGGTGTCAGCGCTATCACCGGCTGGCTTCTAAGCTTTGCAGCCCTTCCCGCATGTGCTTCTCCTGGCATGCTCGTGCCAAAGTGACGGAAAGTGATGAGGGGTTCGAAGAGCTCGTTGCTTTCCGGGCGCTTCCTCGGCCCAGCAGGCGCGCGTCTTTACTGGAATGGAACAACTTCTCTTCCAACAAAGTATGGACTATGCATTCCTCGCGTGTGCCTAAAACTCGCGATAGTCCTAAATCCAAAACACGAGCCGAACGCTATCCCGGGGCGACCCCGCGATGCGGTGCAGTCCGGTGCACGGCTTCAATCGCTCTAAGCGAACCTTCCAAGGTTATAAGCGGCGAACGGTCCAACGCAATAAAGGAGACAGAATCACGACGGGACTCTAGAAATCGACAACTTAGTCGCTTGCTTGATGTTCTGGCGTATGGCGATATCGGTCGAGGGCGAAGGGAGAGAACCACGGCAAATGAAGTTGGGAAGCCGGCGTAATGTCTGCGACTGGTCACCTATTGACGGAAATTTTAGTACATGCGTCGATAGTCATGCCACATGTCATCGATGACTGTGGGAAGCGTACAGCGTCTGTCTCAACAGAAGCTGCAGAGTAAGACTGCGATGTTATATGGTCCGCCATTGCGACACGCGCTTTCATCCTGGAGGATCCTACAGCACGTGGTCGCCTCTCCATTTGGCAAGGCTTTGCGAAACCTCTCCACTTATTTCGTATTTAGGAAGGAACTGCGACCAACGCGCAAAGACGCATTACCCACACATGTGGTTGTTCTATGTACGAAGGAGTATGCCCCTGTATATATAGAGGAAAGGAAGCGCTGGTGAGTACGCTGGTGACTCGTGGTGAGTGAATCACGTGAGAGGATGCCTAACCAACACTTTCCAGGATTGGGCATTTCAGCGAACGTGGTCAGCAACCTTGAGCGTCAACAAAGCGAGCAGACTTGAGTGGAGCAACCATTTACACTCTTACCAGTGGTTGGCTGACGCGTGCGATAATTTGTTGAGCTGAAGCAGACACCAGCGTTACAGCATAGTGGTAGTTTGTAAGATCAATGGCCAGGTCCTGTTGCCATGTCTTGATCACTTTCGGTGGTTCTTCCATTGTTTGCCCATAAAATGCTAGGTAGAATGATTCGTGTCGCTGCTCGAGAGTCCTCTGACCTGTAGTACGTCGACCGACGATACGCTGGAATTACTAGTGTTGCATGCCGATGAGGCTCCACCATTGACACACAAGCCACCAATACATTTCACTCTCTCTCTCTGTTCTACAGAAAGCCAACGTACCGAATGCCCAAGCCGCCTTCGCTCCAGGACAACCGTTCTTGTCACAGTTGTGCTCCAAGTCTTCTTCAAAGTGTATAGCGTAGAGCTTCTCGTATACATTGCACGCCACCTGCAGCTTCAAAGAATCAGCATATAGAATAGAGGGTAGAGAAGGGCTAGAGCGCGCAAGTCAGATAGATCGATCTACATCTGTTGCACCTCTCGACGCTCGAGGAGGAGGGAATTATCTAAGGCTCACCGACTCTGTAGGCCACCATGTCTATCTCATTCATGGTCAACAAAAGAGTGAGGCCGAACTGCCAGCTCTGAATACACTGGTCGTGAATTACGAGGACGAAAAGCCACGAAAGGGCAAATTCCAGCGCTTTGAGCTCGGCCCAGCTCCCGTTCATCGCTGGGGTCACTACGGTGTGACATATCCAGATGGCGCGTATCAACAGATGTATGACTGGTACACCAAGACTCTCGCTCTCGCTCCATCGGATATCGTTTACAAAGACGATAAGCCCATCACATGCTTCTTCCATATCGATCGTGGTTTGGAGTACACAGATCACCATGCCTTCTTCTTTAAGCGGGTCAAACCGGACTACGAACCTACTGTTGCGCATTCTGCGTTTGAGACCCATGACTTCGACGTCGAGCATTTGGGCCATGACTATCTTGAGTCGAAAGGATACGAGAGTTGTTGGGGTGTGGGAAGAGTTGGTTACATCAACTCCATGGTTGTGGACGAACTGCTAACCGGGAACAGCATGTCCCCGGAAGTCAAGTCTTTGACTACTGGTTTGATACCAGCGAGTTCATATTGGTAGGCAACACTTGCATAATTTGATTGGCCTGATACTAACAGCGTTACAAGGAGCACTATGCGGATGGCGATTTGGTCAATGCTGAGACGGAGGTATCGCACGTTCCTGCTGGGCCACAGGCGCTCAAGATCTGGGGGCCACCTATTCCGGGCGTGTTTTAGGTGATATTCAAAGTGTTATGAGAACGAATAAACACGTAGATATATAATTCAAACGCGTTCCACAGTCTGGCTGAAGGGCCAACAACGGGCGAACGTAGGTAGTGCACAAAACATGCATGAGAAACACGACTCAATGCTATGAATGGCTACCTCCTTCGATCTAAGCTTCTTGTTCTGGCTTTCGCGGTCCTTGCGAGGAAATAAGGCAATGACAGGGCGGCGAGATCTTGGCTCCCATTTTGCATGAATGTGATGCAACGCTTCACGACATCGGCCGAAAGTCTTGAGGACATGAGTCGCCACAACACCTCTTTAGACGCCATCGAACAGCTTTGCCTGCCTCTTGTGTATCAATGCCGCTACCAAGAAACACAAGAAGCCCAATACACCGCATGAGCCAGCAAGTACCTGTCCATACAGATAGGATCCGTTGCCAACCTCAACCAACGCACCTCCACCAGGACCTCCGATAAGGCAACCAAAACTAGACAAGGCAAACCCCATGCCCATTCTTGTTCCGATTTTCTTGTTGTCCAGGGTAAGATCGGCGAGTGTTGCAGGGAACATGGCTTGCAAGCCTGCAGCAAACAAGCCGTAAAGCGCCGCAAAGGCATACATTCCTGCTGTCGAAGTGATCGCAATCCAACAATATAGTAGAAGAGCAGTGACGAAACTGACGATCAGGCTGATGGTCAATGGCCGGCAATAGCGGCCAGCAACGTACGCGGGTAACAGACGTCCCGGAATGCCGACGCCGTTTAGCACCAAGAGGAGCGGTATCGATTCTTCCAACGTCATACCCAACGTTGTTCGAGCGAAAGCATTGATCTGGGTAAGGTCAGCTATGTGGTTGAAGAAGATTGCGGTATGTACTTACATAGAAGAAAGCGAACCAAAGACCTGCGAAGCAAAAGACGGAGCCGAGAATCTGTGTACGTTAGCAAAGACGTCCCGGGTTCGTCAAATCAGACCACTTACGAAAAGATCAAAGACCGGATCCTTGAGCTCACTCGGTTCGAGCATCTTGACCGCAACCTTTGGTGGAAGTCGCTTCTTTAGCAGCCGCTCAGCAATCAATAGCATGACCAGCGCCATGAAGCCCAACGTCCTCACCGCCCATCCAAACCCGATGCGATCAATCAACCTGTTAAGCATGATCGGAATGACCAGCCCACCAGTGCCCGACCCGCATAACGTGATACTAATTGCAAAACTCCGCTTTGTCGCATCGAAATATGTCGAGATCACGGATACCATGGGCACGAACATGCATCCATTTGCGAAACCGATGCAAAACCCCTGCGCAAGCACGAACTGCCAGTACTCCTTGCAGATACTTGTCATGAAGATGCCGACCAGCCATAGCCCAATGCCTACGCGCAGAACAAGTTTGAAATGACCGGTGTCTGACGCGGCGCCAGACCAAAGAGGGATGGACAGCAGGAAGAAGACGGTGAGTGCACCGATCCATGAGATATTGGACGCGGTCGACAGTCCAATGGAGGTATAGTGCGCTTGGAACATACCAAATGATGTGATGAAGCCCCAGGTGAAGAAGGTGATGATATGCCCACCTAGCACTTGTGACCATGCTACCCATCCGCCATTGGGAGGCGGCTCGGTAGATGCGACTCTCGTGACATCAAAGGTTGAAGATACTTCTTGCTTGGTTGGCGCAATACCCTCCTCTTTGATCTGGCTGAACTCTTCAGTTGGTGGATCCGGTCCAATGGCGGCCATGATGTTGCACGGCAAAAATGATGTTTGACCGCAAGGTCAGTCGACCCCAGGATTCTGCTTCCCCAGACCCATACTTTGCTGAGTCACGTCTTGCGGGAGATCGAGTTTGGCGAATTTTGCAAGCTCAGTTTTCCGAATTTATGAGGTAATAGGAGGGGATCGGTGGCGGGAAGATGCCCGCCGCAGCGGTCATTGCCGGCGGGCCAGGCGAGGCGAGTACGTCGGATACGGCACGCTCTGCCACTGCGCTTGAAGCAACGCTCGGAAGCCAGCCTCGCGCATTGAATGCCTAGGTACGTAGCTCAGACAACGCAGTACGCGCAATGGGTTCTGGGTTTGGCTTTCAGAATGATTGTTTGCGCATCTTACTTAGGACAAAGCCTCGTGGCAATAGGGTGATGTTCGCAGCGAAGTGGTAGACTTGGCGGAGTTACCCCACAGCCTCTCCCAGCCAATCATGTGCGCGCGCCTTCCAGCTTCCGAGGTCCGTCCTGCAACGCGCGCGGATATCAGTACCGTAAAGAAGCAGCCACGATGCCCGCTACAGCGAGTCAAGTCTTGCTAAAGAGAATATGACTGGAGAGATCCATGATGCCGGAGTGACGCAACAAGTTTACGATAATCAGAACCTTGTCGTATGGCTCTACTAGGTACTACCTAGGTACTACTACTACTACTTAATCTTAACACTTAAGTATGCAGGCTACTCTTTTTCTACAAAGTAGAACTGCGGCTGATAGTACATTGGGTGCGTCTTCGCGACCATTAGGGCTCACTTATCATGGCTCGAAGAAGAACGAGAACTCGCCGGTCCAAAAATTGGTTAAAAACAGCTATCAAGAGTCGTGCTCGCGGATGCTAAAATATCTCGCTTTCTTCCTAAATCTGGTCAAGCTTTAGATGCTAGCTGAACTGGTGATAGATTCCGAGTTCTTTCGGTGTGTGATTGATAGATACTAGTACGCCACTCCCTTCACTCATCGCATTGGGCTGGAACTCGCACCTGAGACAGCATTTGGGGGACGGTACTATCAACGCGACGACGAAACACTGAAAAAGTCTCAGTGCGACCCTGCGTGGAGAGCGTTTTGGAAAGAGAAAACTAAGTCGTTCTAGAGGCAGCAAAAACGACAGATTTTGTTCGAACACGAAGGGGACGAAAAAGTCTGTGAGTCTCGACGGTACGTTGACGTGATTGGAATTAAACCCTTCGCGAGGGCCGTGGTCTTGCAAGTCGCTTCCGCTCTATGTCTGACCAGAACACTCTACTACCATTTCTGATGGATGCCTCAACAGTAGTCTCGAGATGCTCAAACTTAAGAAATGGAATCTCCAGGCTCGGCAACGGATGCTATCTTCCAGCGGGATCAGTTCCCCTGGATTATTCAAGGATCGCAATCCTATTGGCGCGTTGATCACTGGAAGTCGTGGGATGAGGTGCAAGATCCCTGGAAAGACCTAGCTGGGCAATATTTGAAAGTTCTACTCCTCGACTAGCATGATTGGAAGAAACCCCGATTGCCATGGGAGTGTTATTACGACGGAGAACTGTAAGGTAGGTACAGACGCGAGTCGTGAACAGCGTCTACATAGGCTCAGTCGCCAAAAGACTCATGGGACTCAGGCGCCATAGTCACAAGGATTGTGCGCCGTCGTTAGTCACGAGGCGCTTTCTATTCTGATACGTCGCTATGTCACCACGGCTGCTGTGACATGAGCATCTTCTAGCTGAGAAGCAACGCGTTCATCGAGACCCACCATGTGCAGAACAACGGGATGCCGATGTACGAATACATCTTGTCGTACTGCCGTGTTATCCAAATCTCAAGTACCAAGCTTTTTGTAGGGGTTGCCGAGATATCAGAATACCCGGTGGCACTGATGCTGTTCTATCCCTTTATGGCTGGGCTACCGGCAGGACTAACGCCAACAGAACGCAGCTGTTGGTAGCTTCTTCTTCTAGTAATCCTCTAACGAGATTGTGGCTCGAGGATGCAAGCAACCGCAACGATTGTTCGGGCACCTATGCAGGGCAAAAGGGATGGAACCACAACAGGCTCGTATAGACGTCTCCACCGTAAGCGATGCTGACGCCCAGGTGAACGATCAAATTTAACGTGTTCGTATACTGCATGTATTAAAGCTGTCCCCTCTTGCTGCAATGTGATACCCCAGGTACCCCTAAAAGGCCCATCACGTTCTTTTTGCAGCTCCAGCCCTACCTGCGGTCTCCACCTCCACACTCTCTAATCGCTGTACATTACTATACAAACATAATCCTTAATCATGTCGTTCAGTATTCGCAACACCATCGCCCTGGGCGCCTTCTCCGCCCTCGCTGCTGCGCAAACCGTGCCCCCGAAGCTCGACGCAACTTGTGCCGATGTGGTCATATTCATGGCTCGTGGCAACGACGCCCCATACCATGACGGTCGCACTTTCCCCTTCGTCGAAGCCACCTGCGGCAAGTTGACTGCTCAGGGCAAGAGCTGCGACTACATTGACATCCAGTTTGATGTAACCCTTGGTGGAGACTACTGCAACCAAGTTGCCGAGGGCGCTCGCAATGGTATCTCTCAGATCACCGCCTTCAACGAGAAGTGCCCTTGCTCGCACATTGTGGTGAATGGGTACTCTGAGGGAGCTCACGTGGCCGGAGATGTGCTTGGAGGACCGGTAAGCATCACGCGAGAACCGGGCACCCGTGAGGCATGTGCTAACTACGTACTGCAATATAGGGTGGATGCACATTCGTCTCGACCGGCCTAGACAACAACTCTGCTGCAGGCAAAGCGGGTAAGCGACTTGGACGATATTACGGCAATGTCCTTCCTAACATGTTTCAGTCGCCGCGGCTCTCCTCTGGGGAGACGTGATGCATACCGCCAACCAGCCCTACAATGTGCTTGACGGTGCCGACAAGCAGTCCAACGGGCGTAAGCCGGAGGATCTCGCTCGCCTCAATCGCTACGCACCCGTCCTTCGCTCCTACTGTGCTGCCGGCGACCCAGTCTGCGCCGGCGGAAACGTTGTGGCCGACCACTTGAACTACTTTGAGCTCTACACCGACGATGCTTCTTCCTGGGTCGTCTCCAAGATCGACAGCGTCGCACCTCTGGCGTCGTGCGGTGCCACCAGCTCATCATCCTCTGCTGCCGCCTCTTCCGCTACCAGTGCGGCCGTCACCCAGTCTTCTGCCGTCGTTCCTACCTCGTCTGCCGTGGTCACTGCGTCTGCTACACCTACTAAGGCTGAGTCTTCTGCTGCTGAGACGCCTTGCTCAACCTCTCCGGCAATGGTTTCTCCCTTCCCTGAGCCTGTCCCCTACAAGCCCGATGCCTGCGTCCTTGAAGTTCACGTAGAGTATGCCTACGTATAGTTTGAGCAAGATGGAGCCGAAGGAGCAAGTACCACCACTACAGTGCAATGCGAAAAGCTGTCAGCAGCGACAGTATTGCGACAATATATACGACGTGTTGCCACCTTCAAAGTCTTGTTCCTCTAGCTCTCCTCTTGTAAAGTGACCGTGTTGTAGCCGCATCATTCGATGTTCCCGAGGTCCGATCTGTTTGTTAAGGCCACTTCAATCTGGACGGAAGCTAGGAGTATCATTTAAGTTGCATCCCGAAATGAATTTGGAAACACTGAGCGAGTAAACGACGGGAAACGTTGCGGATCGCCGGTATTAGCTCAACGTATTGAGCTACGAATTTTCCATGTTCCAAGCCTGTCGATACGCGATGGAAGATGACGCCTGTGAGCCTATGGAGAAGTAGGTGAAACGGCTTTGTACCTCCTTAAATAGATCCCTACACTGCGCTATGTGAACTGGAGTTCCTGTCCGTCTGTTGGGCCGATAGGCGATCGTCACGCAAGTCGAACATGACCAATGCTGACGACCTTGGAGCGAACCGTGGCTGTCTTGGCATTCCCGCGGAGTTCATAGGCATGCACGTCACCTTCCCCATCTCATCGCCAAACCTCGCCCAAACCTCACCCAAACACCGCATCAACGCCGCCATGTACCGGATACGACCGCGATTCGTACCCATTCGCGCTCTACCTCGCACGTCTCAACCCTCATTGCAGCATGTCCGTAGCTTCCCACAATCCCGTGCCTACCAGCAACTCGGTCGCAGTGGCCAGCAATACAAACGGTTCAACTCTCCCTCAGGTGGCCTCTCCGGTCTCCTATTTCGCTGGGCTGCCCGCCCAACGTTTTACCGTGACGTTGGTCTGATCAGTGTGGGCACTGGCGGCGTCTACCTGTACAATCTCGAAGAAGTGCCCGTCTCTGGTCGCCGCCGCTTCAACATCATCTCGCCTGGCATCGAAGAAGCGCTGGGACGGTCATCCGTAGAGCAAGTGCGGCAAGAATACCAAGGCAGGATACTACCGGATAGCGATTCGCGGGTGAAGCAGGTGAAGAGGGTTTTGGAGCGTTTGTTGCCGTATGCCGAGGGCGAAGGGTTGAAAGACTTGCAGTGGGAGGTCACCGTCATCGAGTCTCCGGAACAGAATGCGTTTGTAGCGCCGGGGGGCAAGGTCTTTGTGTTTACGGGGATTCTGCCTCTGTGCAAGGATGAGGATGGCATTGCAGCCGTGCTGGGACATGAGATTGCGCACGTGGTTGCGCATCACACTGCGTTGGTACTCTTATCTCGGACCGATGAAGCATGCACTGACCAAAGAACAGTGAACGTATGTCTCAAGCGCCTCTGATCCTCCTCGGTGTTCTCACCCTATCTCTCTTCGATGTCTCCTTTTACTCGGGCAAAATGCTCCTCGACCTCTTCCTCTCCATGCCCGCCTCCCGCAAGCACGAAGCTGAAGCCGATTACATTGGTCTCTTGATGATGGCGCAGGGCTGCTACCGACCAGAAGCTGCAATGCAGTTCTGGACGCGCATGGAGAAGGCTGGTGGGGCGGGGCCGCCGCAGATACTGAGCACGCACCCGAGTCACCACAACAGGGAAGAGAAGATCAGGGAGTGGCTGCCCAAAGCGATGGAGAAAGCTGAGGCGAGCGAATGCGCTGTCACGAGTGGGTACGGTAAGTGAACGCACGCATACGGTATGATGATGAGGATCGTGACTGACGCGACCCAGCTACTCAATTCAGCTCCGCGTTCGATAGCTTCGGACGCTGGTGAAGCGTCGGAAGCCCTTTGACGGTAGAAGACTTGTACTAACACCCTGTATACCACCTGATGACTACACTAACATGATGCACCACGAGACGAAAGAAATGAAGGTCCCATCCCTGAACCATCCCAGATAGTCTTGGATGTGAGTAGATATGAGATGAATTGATGATTTACTCTAACATGAGATGAGAACTGCCTATAGAGGCAAGTATGCTTGCTACAAACAGTTGCAAGCAAGCATCGGTACGTACATAAGGTACATGCCAGCTAACCAACAGATAGTGCGCTATGGGCCACAGGGCAAACATTGTAACGTAATGTCATAATTTCTTATACTCTATTAGCCTCGGCACCCCGGTTCGAGACAGAACATGAACATCCGCCGTCCTTGCGACCCCTATACTCGGTCTACCTACCGATTCTCTCTCCTCGACCTCCGACGCGGTATCATCGAAGTAACTATTCCCCATATCCATAGCCTTTCCCATTTCAATCTCCGTAACGGTCAATCTCCTCTCCACATCGAAATCGAATGCGCCATTCTTCTCTTCGGGTAATGCAAAGTCCCATGGCGATTTCTCGATATCGTCCTCGTCGTCCATGCTGACCAGGTTCTTTTCTCCCCAACTCCCGCGGTATCCTGGTAGAGTGGGTACCTCGGAAGGTGTGGTGGCTCGAGCGGGACAGTGGAAAACATGTTTGAGTAAAGGGGACAGTGAGGGAAGAGAGGCGGCCAGAATGCCAATGTCAACCTCGATTTGGGACCATACTGGAACCCAAGACCAGCCCCTGCGGTTCATTTGTCAGAAAATGCTACTAGTAAAGAGAACGGGCTAGGCGAAGGCGTACCAGCTGAAATCGACTTCTTGCCATGTACTTCCTGGTCTGATGGGACTGTCCGACATGACAATCTCGCAAAGGCGCATGGTGCTGGCTATGACCGGGATGACGCCGATAGAGAGAATGACTGCTAGAGCCGCTGAAGGGACGGTCAACAATGAGCGTTCATAGAGACATAAAGACGTCGACTTACTCCTTTGTCTCTTGTTGAATTTGATCACCCATATCAAAGGCAACGGGAAGATCAACAAGACAATATCAGTGACGACATTGATGGCACCCGAAATGACCATGAACATGGCAGCATTAATGCATCCATCGGGTTGGGCTTCGATATCCCAGACACGTGATACTGGTGTACAGATGAACAATTGAGCCTCCGGACGATGTCAGTTGTGCATCTCGTACAGATAGACGGGCATGAAACTCACAAGGAAGACGGAGAAACTAAAGGCAGTCATAAAGCCGGCCGCTGTCCATACAGCAGGTGACTGCACGATCCATGGCAGGCCCTGTTTTCCATAGCCGATTCGGTAGTACAGAGATAAGATGCTCATCTTGACCGCCCTGCAATAAAGTTAATCTTGGAAGCTGATGTCGAGAGCGATGTTGCAGCATACCAATTTGCGACAAAGTAGATGAGCATATTGATCCATTGGTACTAGTCCACTGTCAGTACTAAGTCGAGTGTCACAAGGTGTGTTGAACATACCATGAGCATCTCGTCGAATTGCTCCACGTGAAGCTCTGATGCATGTCGTCCCTGGCCATGCTCGATTTGCAATATGATGGTGACTGTCTGTGCGGCTCCGAGGGTAACGGCGATGGCGATGAAGAGATCGTCTAGGCCGAATTTCTTGACAACGTATCCGCGCGTGAAGCATCTACATTTTGTTAGCAATACGACATTTGCTCGTGGCGAAGATGGGTGCTTGCCGAAGAGCCACAAACGCCACAGCGACGGTATACATGGCCATACTGACTCGGCCTATGACGGGCCCTTGGTCACGCCCGTTCGCGACGTATACGATGTGCCCCATTGCGAGTTCGGTACCTGGTTGAGCTATACGATGTCCGAAGGTTTGACATGGGGCTACGAGAGTTGATGCTACGACGGCGCAAGGTTTCCAAACGCCCGACTGGAGAAGAGGAAGCGAAAAGCAAAGTGAAGGATGATGGCCAGACTAGAGGCTGGCAGACGGGACCTACACACATCTAATACATCGTGGACGAGTTACGACACCCAAAGTGCGACAGGGCGATGGGCACGTTGCAAGACTCGGCACGGCATTATTGAGGCGGCGCTGTTGAAACTAAGATTGCCTTCCAGAAGCACATCAAACGGTGCACAAAGAGCCACGCGGCCTGTGCATGCCTCTTGTCGGCATCGGCACTGTGGGTTGTCGCGTGGTCATGGTGCGGCAAGCCCTGTCGCAGCGCGCATCTCGAAACCTTGTTTGGAGCCACGATCCCGGCACAATGGTATCGGAGGTTTGTGGGAGAACATGGCCTCGGGTTGCGTGGGCGGGAGGCTGAACGAATGGTTCGAGTGTTTCTGAGGTACACGGTGATTGGCCGCGCGCGTGCACCAGGCCGACGGGCTATCCCGGTGTGGCTGGTGACGATGGCATAGACGTCTTCTTGGACGTCTCAGGGGGGTTTTCACAAGGGCCTAGTCACTGCTTGCGCTGCTCGGGTGTTGGGCAGACCGACGATCAGATGGCGGGCGATGAAGAAACTCGGAGCATGAGGTCGAGGATCGCCGCGGAGGCAGCCTGGTTTCGGTTACGGGCGGGCTAGCGCTGATGCGTGTTGGACGTTGCATTCACGTCACTCTGGCAGCACCGCACGAAAAGCATCGAGGCTCCAACAGGCGGGCGGGCGAAGAGCAGAGGCATCCGCCGCAGCCACAACGCCTGCGCGTGTTGCCCAACGGAACAGGGAAGCCGCAACCCACCAGGCGAGCCGCTCCTGCCCTGAGGCGGCCTCAACGCTTGCCCGCCTGCCTCGACACTTGCCTGCCTGCCTGCCTGCCTGCCTCGGGTCGCTGGCACGACATTTGGCGTCACTGCGCTGTAAGCTGGCATGCTCCCCTCGTCTGTACCACACCTGTTCCTCTCCCGCCCCGTTGCATGTCCGCCTACACCTCTCACCAGTCTCCCCGGCCTCTGTGGCCTGCTAGCATACCGCCATCCTCAACCACTGACCATATTCCTCTGCCCGTAGACGCTCCCCTCGCCCACGACCCGCCGCGGCTTGCCAGGCACGCGAGCCATCCTGCATACCCCACCCTGCTCCCTCCACCCTCTCCACCCCCGCCGTTGCCCAACCCGACCCTCAACGGCACCATGGCCGCCCGCGCCACCATCACCTTCTCCCAGCCGGGCGTGCAGCCGCCCGTCTATGTCACCACCTCCCTGAACGACTGGACCCTGGTGCAGATGCAGCCCCTGCACGACAAGACGGCGTCGGGCGACCTCATCTTCAGCAGAGAGTTCACTGGCGTCGCTGAAGGCAGCCACCAGTACAAGATCCGCGTCGGCGAGGACCATTGGGTGCTGGACGAGTCGAAAGAAACCGGTATGTCCTTCTACGTCCTCGTCGACTGTCCCGCTGACTCTCTGCAGCTGCCGTCGACCAGGGCATTCGCAACAACCTTGTCCACGTCAGGCCTGCCAGCGAAAGCACCTCCCTGCGCCCAGCGTCCGAAGCTACCACCAACACAGCCGCCCCAGAGACTTCCCCCGGGAATCCCTCAAAGATGCCCGAGGACCGCAAAGACAGTACAATCAACCAGGAGCAGCTAGCTTACGATCAAACCCACTACGCCCATCTGCCTGAACATGTTGCTAAACGCGCTGCCGACTCAGAACCTGACCTTGAGGGGACCAAGGTAGACTCCCCGGTCGAGACAGCAGCTCCGAAAACACCCGAGATTCCTCTTCTGGTAGTCGACAAGACTGACCGTCGGCCTGCATATGGAGATGACTTCGGCGCCGGCGCTACGACCGCCCAAAAGGCTGCGCATGACATGAGAGCCGCGGATTCCTTGCCAGACCAGCTCAATATCGTGCCCGAGTCCCATACGGAGCCAGAGTCTGATGGTGGCGAAGCTGCTCCATTGTTTCGCCATGAGTCTTTCCAAGCGGATCATGATCCTCAGATCGCTCCCGCTATAATCATCGACGATGAGTCTGCGCCATCATCGACAGACCAGACTAGTTCCGGAGAGGCCATAGATACACCTTCGGAGCCTGACGACAGTGACGAGTTGCATCTAGCGCCCTTACTCAGCCACGAGACGGGCTTCGAGAATGGCGGAGCGGGGCTGAGCGACGGTCCGCATTTTTCCCATGAAACTGACGACGACGATGACGATGACGATGATTTCGGTGGAGCTCCTCTCCTTCCTCACGAGACTGGCTTCCATGATGACGGCAGAATTCCAACCGAATCTGAAAATGACGAGGACGAACTCGACAGGTATCCGTTGCTATCACATGAAAGTGGCTTCTCGGATTATAGGGGAAGCGAGATCGTTACTAAGAGTGATAACTCGGGAATCTCGGAGCCATGTCACTACGGGGCCTACGAGGACGACGAGGATGACTACGCTGAGAATGAAGAGGGCGATGCACCTCTCCTCCCCCATGAACGCGAAGCATCTGCTGTCAGTAGCACTGGGTCTGTCTTTTCAGAGGACGATACCCCCTTTTCTCTGGACAAGCAACCGACTTTTGGTTACGAGACGGACAACGCGAGAGAACTGTTCGGCGGAGCTGGCCGACACGACTTCTTTAGAGGGCGAACAGGAAGCAATCTTCCCCACAGGCTACCACAATCAGATGCGGAAGATCATGACCTGAACGATCCGTCGTTGGAACGATTTCCCACTAGCCGTCAATCAATCTTGGAACGTGTAGCGACAATTGGCATGCATCTTCCCGAAGATGAATCCATGCACGAGCGGCCACATTCTCCCCAGCCATCTGTTCTATCTCAAGCGTGCTCCTCTGTCGATCTTGTACCTGTCAAATCGTACACCTCGCTAGCTTCTGTACCTGAAGACGAATTCAGCGACGAAGAGGAGGACCACCATGATCTAGACAGTATGCCATCGCCCGTGTACATCAGTCACAATACTACCCGCATGTCCAGTCCGCCCGCCAGATTTGTGCGTGACCCATACGCAACCCCACTGCCTGATGAGAGCAAGCAACTTGGGTACGCTGTCGACACCAAACATGACGAGTCGAGTAATCATACCTACGAGTCCAGCGAAGCGGAAAGTGTGGATAAGCATGATGGTGCAAAAGACGTCTCTCGGGCTTCCAATGCTCTGCGAGATGCCATCACCACATCTGTCAACACCGAGAAACCTGCCATGGATCAAGTTACGTCTGAGCCCAAGGCTACCGCCGCAGGTGCGCACCCTGTAGCCGGTCCGGATTCTGACCTTCGGCAGCGCAGAGTACTAGTTGAGGATTCTTCAGAGGCATCAGAAGATGCGACAAGCGCAGTGGTAGATGGTGTGAGTATCAAAGACAAGATTGTCGAGGCAGCGAAGCCTGCACTTGCACAGCGACCGAATCATCACAACGAGAACTTTCTTCAGCATTTCTTCCGAGTCATGTTTGGGCCCGTCGGTCACCTCATGACTGCTTGTTTTGGCGATCGGAAGCGAGCTAGGTGAGCGAACACCGTTTCCTTTTCTCCCTGAATCCTTGAGTATGTGGCTTTTGGCGCTCTTGCCTCGTACGAA